CTGTCTTAATTATAATCACAATTGAACACTTATAAGTCTCTTTCTTATTTCTTCTTTACTCATTCACGTTCAACTTAAGACTAAGTCTAGGCCCACTGTGTGTCTTATTTATACATCCATTCGCACGGTCTAGGGAATTCCAGAATAATCCCAGCCGTTCGTGTACAATTCCAGTCTCATCTAACCAGTCTACACAGTCCAGTGGCGTAACAGTATGTTTATTGTGTTACCACTGTGTTAGTTGTAATTACATTCATCAATAAGTATATATATTTATAATGCGAAACTAGTCGAACCACTATTATAAATACAAAATTATGTTTGAAATATTAATTTTTGTATTATTAGATTGACAAATTAACACAGATTTGTGTGTATTTTATTTACCACACTGGGTAAGGTGGCCATCCTCATTTGATAAAGACATATTCTGATTATTTACCGACTTTCCGCGACAGTAATTTTTTTAGCAATCTCGATTTTTAAATAAAAAAATTTTGTTGCCAACAAGTAGGTATAATGAAAATGCCCTTTTCTTAAAAAATTCATATTATTTCAGGATAGTCTAGCAAGGCTATACTAAGAAGACATTCTGTCGTTTCTCCAAGGATCCTGTTGTTGCAAGCATGGAAAAGCGCTTGCACATTTAGTCCTGCTAAACAGTGTTTGAGTTTCCGTGTGTGTGATGATCATTTCATGATTTCTAATTAACCCAACTCGCCTGAGTCTCGCTTTTCCTCATTCTGTTACACATCAATTAAGAAGTAGTATAAACAACTAATATAGTATCCCTTGAAAATTCTTACGCTGAAAATAATTCTGTTGTATTTCAGCCATGTGTACTATTTCCAGTTATCAATCATTCATCTGCATTATCTGAAAATGGAGTATTTGGACTTTACTAAGTGATCTCTAAAGAATATCTACATATTTAATGTTGTGGTACTTGCCTATAAAACAAAATAATATTTTTTTTTTGGCAGTTCGTTTGATTAATTTTAACTAGTTTATTAACATATTGTAATTCAAACAATTTGTTAGAATATTTGTTATCTAGCTGTAAGAGTAATTATGATTCAATTGTTAAAATGTGATTTAGCAATAAATAATATTAAATAAAATGTTATTTACTTGTCTACTTTTATTTTGAAATCATGTAATATATTATTTAAAATGTAAAAACGCATTTCTAAATTATGTTTTTGTAGTGTATATACAGGTTGACGCAGCACTGTGTGATAAATAATAAAGAAACGTATGTCACTTTTTTTTCACCCCACAATGTTGGATGCACCATATTAGCGGTCAAGCTGTATGTCATTCAGTGGCGGCTGGTGAAATTTAGGCTATCATATCTTACTATTGGAGCATGGGACCCAAGCGATACTTTAAGGTATAACTATCAAGACTAAATGAAGAAGTTTTGCAGAAAAAATTGCGATTGAAATTTGCGAAAAAAAGTTGAAAAATTCGTGTGCCAATTTTCTAAACAATTTGTATAATGTTTTTTCAGAATCAGGTGGAAAATATATCGATAGATTAAAAATTTCATCAAGAAATATATATTTTTTTTACAAAGTTGCAGCCTATTGAAATTTGCAGTGTAAAATTAATCTAAAATAAAATTTCAAAACAGTGCAACTATTAAAAAGCAATATTTTCTTTTGAAATTAGATATCTATCGATATAATTACCACCTGATTCAAAAAAAATAATATGTGTTACAAATTGTTTCAAAAATAACCTGGTTTGCACACAAATTTCTTCTGCAGAACTTCTTCATTTAGTCTTGATAGTTATTTCTCAAAGTATCGGTTGGGTCCCATGCTCCAATACTAAGATATGACAGCCTAAATATCACCAGTCGCCACTGATTTCATTGCTAATAGACCAATTTTTAATCAGCGTGAGAACATCCTAACAATGTCCTATGGAGGTCTTGTTTGGATCTAAAATGGATCAGAATAAGACGTCCCAAAGACATACTGGTTTTTAACAATGTACGTCCCCAAAATGTCTTCTGTACGTCTTACGTCAAAAATGGACGTTTTTAAGACATCTCGTATGTCCTAGGCAGACGTCTTTGATATGTACTTGTGCTATCTGGGCTATAGCCGTTCTATGTCCGAAAAATTGTACACCGGTTGCCATCAGTGAGACGCTCCTCTGCCGAAACAATACTTCACTCACGTGACGTGATGTGAATAATATTTGATATAAATATTTTACTGATTTACGTGCAAATATGCCGTAATTTACCCAGAGATGTTTGACGTAGTTATATATGCTACCTACCTACCTCATTAATTTTTTAAATCACATCACTGAATGCACTGTGTTACTTATTGTACACTATACACAAGATAAAATTTTAGAAATGTCTTTTTAAAAGCACCTTACGTCGAGGCGTTGTAGTATCGAACTAAATTAAATAAACCCTAAGTAAATCTAGTAAGTCCCAAGCATTTCTTGTATGGTTTTGTTTATGCGAGTTTTGACAAACAAAATATAATTGAAAAAGAAATTTTACTTCAAGTAATTGTTTCAGAGTGCAAGTATCATACAAAATTGAAGTAGCCCAAGAATACGTCAAGTACAATTTATTACTTGAATTATGATGTAATACTTCAAGTATAGTTAAGAATACTTAAAGTAACTTACTTGAAAAAATCAAATAAAAATTTAAGTTTTTATGGGAATAATGAAATACAAGTACAGATATCTACTCAGATAAGTACTTAAAGTAAAGTACTTCAAGTACTAATAAATATTTGAAGTACAATTTTAAGTATTGACAGCTCTAGCTGTAACATCAGTAAGTGCAGTTAGATAGCTAGGTACGTATGGTTACGTTTATAATAAAATGTTACTTAATCATCGTCTAAATCAAACGAGAATTAATCACGTTCATTGGCATTTGACGAATGCCTTTTAAGCCGATCGTTGGCATACAATTAGGTAATTTTAATGCAAAAACACGCAGTTGTAGAAGTATATTTACAGATTTGTCTTACAAGTTACTGAATCTCGCTATGTACTCGGCAACATAAGCATGGCTGAAGGAATAGAATGAAGACTTAAAAATGAATTTAAGTAAAATTAAAAGATCTAACCATATTAACAGAAATGAGAAAGTTGGTGATTTTTTTTTTATTTGGTAGAAAGAAAAAAGAATCTTCTGGACAGCATGTAAGAACTGAAAAAAATTTGTAAATACAAACAACAATAACTATGTTGTATGGATAATTAAAATAATATTTAGTAGGTTAAAAACATTTTTATTACAAATACACTAATACAATGTGACACCATTAATTAAATAAACAGCTTCATTATCACACCCACATATAACTTTATTTCTGTTTAAATCTAATGTGTTTATTGGTTTTCCCAAAATAGGCATCAATGTAAACACCTCTAATTTATTTTTGACATTGTCAGGAGCCAGCCACACATTTGTTTCAAGATTGTCTAATCCTATTATTGGAGTATTTTTTGTTTTTGTTGACCAATGCCATATTTCACCAGTGTTAGAGCAACTGAATAACTGATCAGGATGGTCAGGATGAAACTGAATTTCAGAAATGGTTCCTTCGTGTGCATTTAATACATTTACAGGGTACGTGTTTTGACGCAAATCCCATGTTGTTAGTGCTCCTAAAACAAATCAGAGGCATTGATACATAAAAAAATTAAACAATATTATAATTATTTCTCTAGTGTGTGGATGTGGATTACTGACTAATACTCCGATGTGTATATTTTCCTAAAATATTATAGTTTAGTAATATTTTTAATAAATAATACTTAAATTAAAAACAGTATCATTAAATAGTGTAAATATACTAGCAACAAAAAGCTGCATCTTATCACGAAGTAAAAACTATATATTTAAAGAAGGTAGGATAAAATTGCTACCTAATCCCAAGGTAAGCTACAAAATCTTAAGGGGGGGCCCATCCAGATTAAAACAAAAAATCACCAATAACGATAAACAGGTTACTCCAAATAGGCCTAATACTAGTTATATAAGTATTAATGATGATTCTGAAAAAGAAGATAATAAAGATAGTCCAAATAATATAATTCTAACACTACACAATAAATTGGCCATCAAAATATCTAAAAATGAAGAATTAAATGGTATTAAAAACAAACAGTTAAAAATATTAATGAATTGGAGATGAAAGTAGAGAATCAAAACGAAATTTTTCAAAATCTCCATGAAGCTTTAGCCACATGAAATAACAAAATTAAGTGTAATAATTAATTGTAAAGAGAAAAAAACAAAATACAAATAACCGACCTAAATAATAAAAATATGTTATTAAACGAACAATATATAAAAACACACAGTTAAATAACAAAAGAATTTACTAGCGCCTCTAAAGTAGTATCTAGGGTAGTATTAAATAATGCGAAGCTATCAATAAATACTTCAATCTGACGAATCCGATGTCCATATTCAGGCGGAGAATAATATAGGAATTATTAGGGAAAATAAAATTCTTGGCATGGTACCTAGTAATATAGGCTTTCCAGATAATAAGACACCTAATAAACAAGGGAGAAATAAAATCATACTTCTGTCAGATGAACATCGCAAAGGCATGAATTACTTATTATGTAACAAGCTAAGTAAGTATGATATACAGTCAATGATTAAACCTAACGCAGTAGTTATGAACGACATTGATAAAATAGCTAAGACACTGTCCAAAAGAGATTATATTATTATATATTATTATTATTATTAGCTAGCATATTTGCAACACACTAAAAAAAAAAAATTGAAACTGACGTATTCTCATCAATGCCCTACACAAATAACTACAACACTAATAGAAGCATTTTTAAATTTAATTATAAGCTTAACGAAATTTTAATAAAATTAAATAGTCACGTCCAATATTTTGAAATTAACAATTATTATAATTACTACAAAATAAAAAAGGTTGTAATTATTGTAGGTGCACTAAAAAGTGGTAACTAATAATAGTGGCTTCGTGGTCGAATAGTAAGAACACTTGCCTCTCACCTAGTAGTCCCGGGTTCGATCCCCGGTCGAGGACCTAGGATTTTTTCTAAACCAGAAATTAATCCTAGCATACTAGGACATTGGGTGTGTGTCCATTGTCTGTGTAGCCCTCTCCACACAAGGTACCTTGAGGTACCTTCAGGGATACAGGGGGTTATATTACCTGTGGTGTTTAATTTTAATTAATTTAATAGTGCTTTATCTAAAGCATTAATCTTTGTGCCAATAACAAATCAAGTTGAAACTGCAAACAGTCCGGTTCAATTCAGGGGGGTTCAATTGAGATAGCATACCACGAATTGTGATGAAATTAGTACTGATGATGTCAGCAATAGATGGCGGCATAATACTGTCACTATTACAGTGCATGTTTTTATCAGCTCATCTAATTTCCATTTCCGTTAGTTGTCACCTAAGACTAAAGGCATATTTTTGCGCTATGAAACTTGTTTACTAACAATTTGTGCTGATTGGTTGAATACAAATTTCCTGCCGCGTGATTGGTTTCAACAGTAAACTGTTTGCAAACATTCGAGACCACGTTATCGTCAAACTTTAGTTATGTTCTGAGTTAATTGTGAAATCTTTTATGTGAGTTTTTGTGTTTTAAGCACTTTATTTTTGATTTATAATTACGGCTTCATCCATTAGAACCGATTGTGTTTTTGGATGTCCTAAGCAACCTATGGAGACATCGTTTTTTAGAATACCTAATCCTTCAAAAGGGTACGACTTTTGTAAAGCTTGGCTGGTATGCTTGGGAAATTCTAAATATGAAAGTATAGATTTAATGCAAGCGTACTCTAGAAGACTTCTCGTTTGTGCGAAACACTTCAAACCACAGGATTTTGTGACTCCCTCTAAGTTGAAAGAAAATATAATACCGACCTTATATTTACCTAGTAACACATGAACTAATTTTCAAATGTTATATTACTCTTATAATCCTTATATTTATCACACAATCTTTGTCGGGATATATAGTCATTTATTTCTGTATTAATTATCATGTTTCAGAACATAATCTAGGTTACCATATGATAAATGATATTTCTTAGGTTTTATTTATTAGTTTTAGGGTATATCCACCTCCTGGTAATGTGACCGAACAGATAAATTTAAGAATAAAATTGTTAAACCAGTAAAATAATAGTTACTATTTATCTATTTTTGCAGAACAGTAATTCCATATGAGAATATACTTCGTTGTGATTAGTTTTTTGCAAAAGCAGTGATGTAATGATTAATAAAAATCTGTTTGGTAACTAACAGCCACTCTACCAGAAGATGGATATACCAGGCCTTAGTTTTATTATTTTACTACCAACTTGTACTATTATAATAATTTGTATATTTAAGCGTGACTTTTGTTTCTTTTATTTCCAGAAGTAAGTATACATTAAATTACAGAAAAGGCAACATAAAAAATTTCTTAATTTTTTTTCTTAAAATAGGTGGCGCTCTTGGCTAATATTTAACGTGTTTTTAAATATTCAATTACAAGTAAAGTAAAAAAAATAAGTTTACTTAATATGTTCATTTAAAAACAAAATGTAAATGTATTGGCCTAAATGTTAAATATGTTTTTTGATAAAAATGGTAGTATTCAAATTTGTCGCGTATTTATTAGTACCGATGTCACCAAGAGATGGCGCTTTACGATTTGCCGATAATGAAGGCCTGTTCGCGTTCTATTTATTTCTTTTCTATGGTTCAGTTCGAGTCCGGTGCAAATGTAAGCGCGTAAATATTATAACTACAGAAAACAATAAAGAATGAAGTGTTGTAGACAGAGAATCGGATGCGTCACCTAGCGAATTGATTAATATAATCTCGAATATAATTATGTCATAATACTACCAGCCAATCCCATAATTTTTTATACCCGAGACTATCACAAACGTCTTTTCTGTAATAAAAAACTTTTATATAATATACAATTTAAATATTCAGTCGGTGACAAATAAAATCGAAGTATTAGGACAAACTGAAAATCCTGATATCTGATGTTTATCTGAACACTGGTGCAACAGTGATAATATAGTAAATGCATATTCAGTAAACCATGCAGCAAACTACTGTCGAAAGAAACATATACATGGTGGTTTTTTAATTTATATAAAAACAATATACTATACAATCATTTATCTAATTTAAGAGACGTCTGTTGAAATTAATTTTAAATGCTGTGCAATTGCAGATTCAATAGATAAAATACAGACAGCTGTAATAAGTGTATACAGGCCCCCAAATGGCTGTATTCACATATTTTAAACATATTGTCAATGGTTTTAAATTTCTGTTTTTTAAATTTTAAGCAAATTATATTATGTGGTGACATGAATATAGATTACCTTAAGAAGTCATATTGGAACAAACTATTTACTGACTTACTAACTAGCTACTGTCTAAGTGTTAACGATACTGAACCAACAAGGGTTTTCACTAATCAAAATGCTCTTATAACATCAAGTAAAATCGATTATATCTTAACAAATATCAGCAAATCTAACTATGAACTTAAAACTCAAGATTTAAGCTTTAGTGATCATAAAAATATTATTAATGTAGATAGAACAAAAACTATTAGAAATTAATCAGAAAACAACCTACTACATCTGAAAAATTACATAAAAAATGAAAGAAATTAAGAAATTAACTGTCCATCTCTTAGAATTAGTCCAGTATCAAATAATAATAATAATAACAAATGGGTTACCCCTGAAATAATTACTCGGAAAGTGGAACTAAAAAATATGTCATGGTTATTAAAAAATACTGAGGACCCTCAATTAAAATATAACTATAAGCAAAAAAATAAAGAATATAATTTACTAATTATGAAAACTAAAAAAGACCCATTTTCAAAATAAATTAAGTAAAAATGAAACAAAAAAACAAAAACAAATATAGAACTTAGTTAATGAAAAAAGAGGTAAAAGTATACAAAATCTTCCAATCAAGTTAAATATTGATGGACAATATGTCATACGGGAAGATGAGGTTGCCTCAGAATTTGTAAAATATTTCGTTAATATTGTCAAAAATGTACAGCATTTTTGGCAATATTACAATACAAATTTTGTAACCAACACAAAAACGAAAAAAAATCCTCATATGAGTTCATTTGTATTTATTAAATATAAAGATTTGTATTTTATCCAGTAGTGGGCACAAGAAATAAAAGATGTTATAAAAAACCTAAAAAATACAACCTCCGTGTGAAGACTGCATTTCAATTAAAATATTAAAAACCATATAATATGTAATGTTATTGCTGAACCCTTGACATATATCATAAACAGGTCTGTGGAATTGGGTCAATTTCCAGATGACTTGAAAATTGGTAAAATAATTCCTGTACTAAAATCAAACAATGCTGAAGTAATAGATAATTATAGGCCAATCACTATTTCAACGATCACAAGTAAAGTTATAGAGATAATCATGTATAATAGTCATAAATTACTTAAATAAATATAACTTACTGTCGGAGAGTCAACATGGCTTTAGACTTAGCAGATCAACGGAAAGTGCTGCCTACAAATTTGTTAATTATGCGTATTCTGTTTTAGATAAAACACACTAGGTGCACTCTTCTTTGATTTGTCTAAAGCTTTCCACAGTCTAGACCTACATTACATTGAGGATAAACTAGAACTCTTTGGTTTTAGAGATAATATATTACACTGACTGATGTCTTATCTTCACAATAGAAAAATTTATGTTAATATTAACAACAATGCATCAAGCTCAACTGATATTGATCAAGGAATTCCACAAGGATCAGTTCTAGGCCCGTCGATATGTTTGCTGTATATTGTGTTGTTTTGTTTGCCGACGATACAACAATAGCTGTTTCCGCCATAAACCATGAAGAGCTTCAGGCAAAATTAAACATCGTGTCCATTCAATTCACTAACTGGTGCCACAGAAACAAATTACTGGTAAACACAAACAAAACTGTGTTTATGTAACTAAAATACCTCGAAGCCGAATGCACGTTTTTAAAAACAAACTTTTCCAAAAACGGAATTTTCGTTTATAAAATTTAATGTGTTGTTTAGTACAAAGCTATATCAGAACTGAATATAATTAACAAGATGCAAAGAGAATTGGAGAATTACAATGTCAGCATTTAACTAGAGTAAAGATAACAGTGCATATTCGTTATATTATAATATGAAATACTATAGGGTGGCATCACATAACTCCTCCATCCCTAAATTGAGGCATATTTCACGGAGTGAAAAATGTTCGAGGGCTTGCCTGGGGTTGATCACCGGTAGTCGTCTGGGGGGTTCCTCGTCTTCTACGTTGGATGAACATGTAAATGGAGTAGAGTCCAATGGAAATCAGGATAACATACACGGGGATTATCCAATAGTTTGCCCATGATTTTTCGGTATGTACGAGTTGGACTGGTCCAAGTTTTCGTTGTTCCTTTTGAAGTTCATGAATTTTGTCCAGTTGAACGTCTTCAATAGTTATTTTGGGTAAGGTGACCACAGATGACTTGTGGGGAATATTAATTTCTGGCAGGAGCATTGGCTGACCTCTGGTAATATGTTTTTCATTGACATAGTTGTAATCGTTGGTTTCGAATTGGCATCCTGGTGGAACACTGATTAAATAGTTTCCTTCGAGTGTCGTGAAGTCTGTACGTCCACAAACTGTTCGGATTTTTGTTTGATTTGGGAATATGACAATGTAATGAGAATCGTCTACTTGTTGAATCACATTTCGTGTGATTTGTACTGATACTTGTTGGCAGCTTTTATAAGTGGATTCTAATTGTAAGAGTTCAAAAATACAATCTCCATTCTTCATTCCATACGTCAAGTAGTCATTATCAGGGCAGTAGTAATTGGGGTGCAATTCGATACAAGGTACCGATGTATACTGGTAGAAGTTTTCGTTCATAACCAAATAGGTATTTCTTGGAATAATTGTTGTGAGGTTTTGGGTAGGAACTGAGTACAGATGGTAATAAGAAAATGTTTCTGGGTAAACAATAGGAAAATGAATTACGAAAA